GATGGATGGATGGGTGGATGGATGGATACATGTGTGGATGGATAGATAGAGGGATGGATAGATAAACTGATTGATGGATGGATGGGTGGATGGATGGATACATGTGTGGATGGATAGATAGAGGGACGGATAGATAAATTGATGAGTAGATGGAAGAAGGGTGGATACATGGGTGGATGAATGGATGGGTAGATGGACCTTATGGCTGAATAGATAGTTGTGGATGGATGGATACAGGTGTGGATGGATAGACAGATGGGTGAAGAAACTACATCCATGCATCTTTCAGGATCAGCCTTTTGGAGTTTGATCTCTCCATGAGATCAGCTTCTGAATGAGCTACCGTGTCGGTGGCCTGTGTTACACCTCTTCCTAACATCATACCCTGTGAAAGTTTGCATTAGTGAGCTAAAATAAAGCCAGTTTGTTGTCAATTAGAAAACTAATGCTCCAATAGACTGTATAAAAATAAATAATTCGGCTATTGATGGCTACGCATACTTTATTAGACCTCTAAACACACTGAATCACATGAAAAGAATCTTTTAAAAAGAACCACCCAATAGTTGGACCCATGAATACCTCGTGAGTTCCTTTACAGGAAGGGAGGAAAGGAAGAAGCAGGGACCATCACAGCACTGTCCCCCGAATGCATGATCAGTCACAGTCACCAGAAGCAGGCCCATCAGCTGTAGCCCAGCAGAAAGGCACCCATCCCTTCAGCTTATCAAGGCTGTTGGTTAAATTCCCTGCAGCACTAAATAACTCCAGTGGTGGCCTAAATAACGGGTACAATGCTGGGGTTCTCTCTTTGTGGTGTGAGTTGTCTGGAACATCAGGGTAAAAGTTACGTCTGATTTCACCAGGCAGCATGCATTGTTCCTCTGCCCCACACGGTTTCTGCCATCACACTCAGAAACAACCTAGTGCTGACTTTTTCTCGCACATCTTTGGGTGCATAAAATGTGTCTGCGTCTAAAAGCCCTTCCTGCCTCATTGTTGTGGGAGTAACTTCCGCTGCCTCAACCAATAGTCGCTGAAGCTTGAGCCCACAGTGCGGCGGGGAGCGCCTTCCGCTCCATCAGCCAATAGCCGCTGAAATACCAGCCCACTGGGGCGTGGCATATTTCTCTTTTAAAAAGAGCCACAGATCCCGCATCAGGCCCTCTTGGTTCCGGCGCTTGGTCCTGGCTCCTGCTCCCGGCTCCTGCTCCAGCGACTAGGCTCCCTTCCTGACGGTTTATGGTGTATGTAACTTTTACCCCCCAAAATAAATAACCCCTTAAAACATAACTGGTGTGGGATTGATTCGCCGATACCTCATTTCCCACCCGACAGGGCATTTCAGAGGACATCTCAATTTGTCTCACATTCTACAATTCTCTCTAGGCAAGAGAGTTCCTTTGTGACGTACATGATAAGAGAAGACATCTAGTGACTCCAGCAGTCATAAAAAGGCCACTTCAGAGTGACACTATGGGAGAGGGAAGCTTCTTCCTAGGGAAGGGTGGGATTTTAAGCAGCAAACCATTTTAGATTTGATTTGTTGAATGTGTCACCTTCAATTGCATGACCCTGAAATGGGAGAAAGGAATGGAAAAGATTCTGTGTGACATGGGAAAACCATCAGCGGCAAGCGGGCGCTGAATTGGTGAATTGGTGGTGTCTTAGCTGTGACTTTTGAGAATCGTGTGAGAGTCCAAGGCTTTTAGGAACCACCGAGTAGGCTGTTTATTCTTACACTGGAACCACAAGTGTGTTATGCAGTGGGAGCCACTCACCGACAGGATGTTTTTCATGGTAATCACAAACACATTGTATGCAATCAGCCAGTCCCAGTAGCGGAGGATGCTCTTGATGGGTTTCAGAAGCAAATCACCCCCAAAGAGCAGGAAATAGAAACAGGCCACCAGGTAACCCATGCAAAATATGCTGATCCTGGTTGTTCCCGTGATGAAGATGATGGTGAGGACGAACCAGAAGAGGTAGCTGAAGATGATCACTTTGGACATGTCCAAGTAAGATCTGGAAGACACACCCCGAGTGATAGAAAGGTAAGTGTGACACAAAGAAAATCAAGGCTTCATCTTTAGGGGCAGAGAACCTCGTATTCAACGTTGGACTATCCACTGAAGCATTTTGCAAAATGTGTGCCAAGGCCTCTGCATACCACTGCCTGCTGCCTAAGAAAGCCCTGCATAACCAGCACTAGACTAATAGGTAAGTTGGGAAAAACACTATGTATAAGTATGCTTCTCATCATCTCATTTGTGACCAATTTCTCACAAAATAAGAACATTTTTTCTGGGCAGGGTGGTGGTGGCGCATGCCTTCAATCCCAGCACTCAGAAGGCAGAGGCATGTGGATATCTGTGAGTTTGAGTCCAGCCTGGTCTACATAGTGAGTTCTAGGACAGCCAAGACTGTGACACTGAGAAACCCTGTCTCAAAAAACAAAACCATGGCAATAACAACCCCCCCCTTCCCGGAACATTTTCTGCCTACCTCTTGAATATTCAAAATTTTCTTGGTCTTTCTATGGTAGGCATGAATAATTAATTGCATGGCTAAAAACATTCCAAGATATAGGTGCCTCTTGGCTAACAGGAAAGTGAGCATTGGATTACGTTCAAGGAACTAAACGTTTATGTTATTATATTACAAAAAGTACATACTACATACAAAGATTTCAGTAGAAGTAAAAACAATCCCTTGTCATTGATGGAAGAACAACTCATTCTGTCTGGATGTCACTGGGTCAATTCAAGGCTCTTTGAGGCACTGTCCACCCAGAGTGGCTTTAGTGATGCAAGGTGAGACTAGAGTATGGGGCCCAAACTTTTCTACAATAATTAGCAGCTGTGGGAGCTCCCAGAACCTGGGTCACTCTGCGGGCGGCAGGTGGTACAACTGCTGGCCAGAGCTCAGTTCTGCTTGACCACAGCTTCTCTGAGGGCTTGCTCTGGAAGTTTTCCTCTGGGGTTTTAGGAAAAGGATCAGAGAGTAAATTCTAGGTTCACTCTTTGTTTAACGGGCTGCATTTCTGCAGGAGGTTAATAAATCATCTCCGTAAAGTGTGCGCTGTCCTTGGCCTTGCCAGCAGCATTGGGAAATAAAATGTATCTTAATGCTTTTACCAGATAAGTGAACTTTTGACACTTACTGATTTTAAGAGGATAACAAAATTATATTTTTTTCTGAAATTACAATTATAATCCTTCTGTAATTTTTCTAAACAAAGCAGGAGAGCCATTCTTGAGATGAGATAAACCTAATAGTTTGTTACAGATACAGCTGAATGTGACAGCTTGTGCCCCACCAGAGGTGAATGGAGATGTCACTCTGTCTGGTATGGGGCAATATAAGTAAGGTACTTGGAATGGAGCCTGGCACCTAAAACAGCTGGGTAATGAAAGCTAGTTAAGTTATGTGTGTACTATATAGACTCAGGACTATGCAGAAATATAGACAAAAAAAAAAACCCTTAAAACAAGCAAACAAACAAAACCATGCAATTAGAAGGACCTTTGCCCCTTATGCTTTATAAAAGCAGACAAGACAGGTTCTTAAAACAACAACCCTAGGGAGTCAGTGACACATGCCACTCTTCTCTGAAGGCAGATGTTGGGGTGCTCCATGCAGGTGCCCTGTGTACTCCCAGGGTAACCCCTCTGCCCAAGTCTTACCAGCAGTGGGAGAGGGCAGACACTAAGCCAGGATCCCCAGAGGCTGGAGGATCAGGCCTGGACAGATCCCACAGTGCTATTAGGTTCCTACACCATGGAGAAGGTGAATCTAAAAGGCTTCCTAGGATGAGGATAGAAGGGGAGCTTGACATCAGGCAGGACATGGATGAAACTAAATCTGGAGAGCGCAAGATACAGAAAGCCTGCACCATGAGACACTGAGCTGGGCTTGTGGAAAAAGCTCCCAGGAAAAGCTCAGGAAGGCAAGGCTGAGTGTCCCCTGGCTGGAGAGAGCGGGAGGGCAGCCAGAGTGCTGTAACGGGAGCCCACAGAGGGCTCAGGGAGATGCGACATAAGGACAAAACCACACAGGGCAGCTCTAGGGGCTTCACTCCTGGGACTCCTGAACACACAGGTGAGGAGGGAGAAAGACAGGAGCAGTGAGGAGGGACTGGGATGAGGGATGAGAAAGACAGAAGAGAGGAGGGGCTGTGACAGAGGCAGTGTGATGAGGGGGGTAGTGAGTATAGGGCAGTGAGGAGGTACAGGGGTAAGGAGGAGGGTCAATTAGGAGGGATGGGTGAGGAGGGAATGATAAAGGCAAGAGAGGAGAAGAGGTGACGAGGAGGAGCAAGGATGAGGAAAGTGGAGATGAGGGAGGTTCGAGATGAGGAGAGATAAGAAGTAAATAAGAGAGTGGAGGAGAGAGGGCTGATGAAGGGTCAAGTGGATGGAGAGACAAAAAGGGGAGAGGGATAAGAAGATGAATAGAGAAGGAGTGGGGAGGAAAGGGGGAGAGTGTTCTTGCTGGAGAGCTGCCTACAGTATTGTTGGGCTAAAGCAGTTTCTGTTGGAAGGGACTGAAGCCATGCAAGGCATTTGGCAGGGACTCGAGGGACACAAGGGTGTAAGGTGGAGATTGATCTACTTCCCTGGTGCCACACTGACAGAACTGTACTTAAAGGGCAGTTCGAATGACCTTGCACACAAAGATTGCCTATCAAGAGGTGACGCTGCTGTTACCTGCAATGAATGAAATCTGGCACAGGATTATGCTGGCTGAATGAGGCGGCGTCGAGGTTCATGCAGATCTCGACGTTGTCCCCCGCCATGATGCGCACAGCTGCCTTGTTTTCATCCTCAAAGATCTGCCGTTGCAAGGAGGCACACAGGAGCAGCATGAAGTCATCTGGCAAGACAGAAGCAGTCACTCCTCAGTTTCTAAAAGGCCACACACGGTCACCACGTGGCATGTGTGAGCCTTAGCAAACAAGTGAGCTGAGTCCCCAAAGATCATACTAACTTCTAAGGCTGGGACCAAGTCCCCATTTCGTGATCCCAGTATGGGGACAGCAGAGGGGGTATCAGGTCTGGAGGGCTGACAATGGTGGCCTCTGAGTGTTGTCATGTCCAGATGCTAGGTGCCTGCCCCCATGAATCTTGGGATGTGGTGCACTTTTCACCTCACGGTGCTGAGAAAGCTGTTGGAACGCTGGCACATCTTTCCACGGGAACTAGAGACGGACATTTCTGTTCTTTCCTCTCACCAGTTCCTTTGCTTTTGTAACCAGACTTTTCTCGGGGATCACATTGAGCAGGTGTGAGCAGGTGGCCAAGGTACAGACAGGTCATAGAAAGAACATGGGCACGGCTTTGAGCTGCCCACAGCAGAGCTCTGGCCAGGTCTCTGGGATACTCCCAAGGCACAGGTGGCTTCCTTGTTTTTAAAATGGCCCAAACTTTCTGTAGTGGGGAAGCCACTCTGGAATTCTCCGTGGCACTGTCAATCCCTAGTGTTTTGGAAGCGCTGCTCCAACCATCCATTTCCAGAGATCCTGGGAGGTTCTGCATGCAGCTCTCCTGTGAATGACATCTGTGGGCTCTCTGGAAGGTTCTGCATGCAGTTCTCCTGTGATTGACAGCTCTCCTGTGATTGACACCTGTGGGCTCTCTGGAAGGTTCTGCATGCAGCTCTCCTGTGATTGACATCTGTGGGCTCTCTGTTGCTGCCACAGCCCTGTCTCTCATTTGGGTCTTCTTGCCATGATAACTGGAAATGGACTCAATTTGCAAAGCTCCCTCTCTAGTCTATCTTTGAAGGGGAGAGGTGTTGGGAAGTGAATCAACTTTGACGTTAATCTATTCATTTTGCAAATGGAAGCGAACCAGTAGATGCTATTGGTCACTTTGCATATAAATACATAAGATAAGCTTCATACACTTACAAAGTTCAGCAGAGGAACTAAAGGTGATAACGCCTAACACATGAAAAATAATAACAAATATAAGCCCAAATACCTACATCCGGTGGTCCTACAAGCAGAAACACAGACAAGAAACACTTACAGACAAGAAACACAGGGTTGGGCCGCACGATGAAATCCGGGAAGTACAGCCACTTGATGATGTTATCATTGAAGTTGGCACCCTTGAATCTCCACGGGTAATCTGCGAGGGGCAGGAATGAGCAGGCACAATCAGTTCCCTGGCGCATCTCTACCTTCTCCGCTGTGCACGGCCTATGGCTGGGATCAGGGCAGATTCCCCAGGCAGAGCGCTCACCTCGGCAGGGGGCAGGTGGGATGCCTATGCAGACAAAGTACTGGAAGGTGATGATGCAAGCCAGGAAGCAGCAGTACTTGGGCCAGACCTCCGCGATGGCTTTTCTTCTGCGTCGATACAAGACACCGATCAGCCAGCAGGCATGAATCATGGCATAGAAATCCATCCGCTGTCCGATCACATTCACCGACATTAGGAAACAGGTCTGCATAAGGATGGTTAGGAGACAAGAAAGACTGGGTTTATCAGACACGGAAGGGATGCCAGAGACCAGGATTTCTCAGTCTATCTGCTCATGCACAGGTTCCTGAGGAGGGTCACTGTTGAGTGTCTTTTAGCATGAATATGGAAATGCTGGATAGTTACCTCTGAGAAAACTGACTGTGCCTTTCATAGTAATGGCTTCAACAGTGGCAAAAATGATAGCTATGATGTCCTGGTTAAAATACCACCATTGCAAATTCATTCCATCAATTCCACTATAGATTATCGTGATAGAATCCCACTCCTCTGCTCAGCCTCTCACTATTCTCTCATTACCACTTCAGGTCACAAGAGTCCCCCTCCCAGTTTATACTTCAAAATGCACATGACGACAGGAAGTCCATTCTATTCTTATTAAGAAATGACAGTTCAGATGTGTATAGATGACTCGGGAGACCTAGGGAGCACATGTATTGCTATGGAGTGGGGTACTGACTCCTGGCTTTTGAAAACTCCAACTCAAGCTAAGCAGACTCCTCAGCTCCAGTGGCTTTGTGAATGAACAGGGATGTGTAGCCATCCTGACCAACCAGTGACCAGCCAGTCCAAAGAAACTATTTAAATTCTTATGAAAAAATATCCAACACAAAAAAAGAAAAAAAAATCCAACACATGAACAAGAAAACTCACCTCTAGGCCAAACTTGTAGAAGAAGTAGTTTATAAAATATTTGGCACAATTGATAAGTCCATCATCTAGGTGTAATCTTGTGATGTCATGAAATATAGTTTTGGACACTGGAGCGGTCAGTTTGTTTCGGCCTCGATAGTACTCCTGATGGCGGTAAATGGTGACTTCAAAGGCCAAAATTGCCAACATCAGGAGATTATTCTACAAGCAGAAAGCGAGAAAGCACATCTATGTATCCTAGAGGCCTTGTGATTTAGTACTTCTGAGCAACTACAGTAACTCACTGTATTTAAGTACGGACGTGTAAAAAACAATGTCATATTAGATCTCACTGTATTCAGTGTAGCATTGAACCTATTTCTCTGTCTTACTGAGGACCTAACTTTCTTGTGAAATGGAAACTGCTGTGTTCGCAGGATCTAGCCTCTCTGGATGTAAGACTGTGGTTGTTTCTTTTCCTTGCTTGGTAAGTACATGGCACATGCCAAGGGTACAGCACCCAGAGATCTTTGAGGAGGACAGTCTGACCTTGTTTGCAACCCTTACATGCAACATATTACAGGGACATCTGGGAAAGTCACTGAGCTGGGGATGGCAGAGATTGAATTTAACACCTCTGGTCTCTGGCCAGAGGCAAGATCACGATGGAAAAGTCCTTGTCATAACAATAGTCACGACAAGATGGTAGACACATGGGAACAGGTGGCAGGGGCCATCTCTCAGACTTTCCAAATATCAGTTTGTCTTACGTGACAGCTATTTGGACAGTAACTGTTATAGAAGATCTAGAAATTACAAAATATGGTGTTTAATACATTTTAAACCCTCAGGTGCCAAGTGTAAAGATTTCATTTTTAAGGGTCTTGTCAGCAGTTAGGACAATGATTAAGGCTGCTTGAGTTATTCATCAAAATGAAACGTACAAAAATGTATAAGAATCTAAATGGTTTTTATGTCATTAAATCTCAGTGATTATTTTTGATCAAAATATGCTGTATGACTTTGTAATGTAAATGTGTATTCTTTATTAAGCGTTCAAGAATCAGAAATCAATAGCAAGTATTTCTTGTAATGTTGTTATGCCTCCATCTTAGAAATACTTACTACTGATATCTGGTAGATTTTTATCTAGGGCTTTTCTTTGTTTCTAGAAAAGGTTACAATGTGTACAGTGTTACAAATTTTCCTTTTTCAAACACTTAACAGTGTACTTTGGACTTGCTTCAGGTCTGATGTGCCCACCAACTTTGTCCTTTAACAGTTATTCGAGGAGCTAGTGAAGGTGTTGGTGTATTTCAAAGAACTGAGCTTATCTGCTAAGTGGATTTCTTTCAGCACAAAATAATACTGTATAATACTGATTTTAATGTCTAGTCATTTTTGAGATCTACTAAGAAAACAAAGTTACCATTGGAGGGGCTAGGAAGCTTCTAATGGGGGAAGGTCATAAACTATAGAGGTCCAGAGGCCCAGATGAGACATAAGAAAGCCTTACCCTCAGGTAGACGAGCAAAGGGGAGGACTTCCTCAGGCCGACCCACTCAGTGGGATCAACAGGGGCACTGTAGAGAAGAGACTTGTTCAGCTCATTAAGGGGTATGTTGGTTTGATTTTCATTGGGCTGAAAAGAAGAGAAAGTGGGGTGACAACAGCTTATGAGATTGACAGTGTTCAGAGTGATCCTCTTCAGCTCTGGTCAAAGGAAGTTCTGTGGGGTAGGGAGGGGAGGACCCATTTCAAATGGGGAGGAGTCTCAGGTGAAGAGCAGCTTTAGGTTCACAAGGGGCCAGAGTGGTCCTAACGTGGGTGAGGTGACTTAAGTTAAACCGAATATCTCCCCTGATCCTCTTAAGGTCACTGAGGAAGAACCCCCAACTTCGAGGCTCACCAAGGAGCAGTTGACAGAAAAGTTCTCAGGCTTAATGGTTTGCAGCTGGTACAACATTTTGCAGACGATGATCACACATGTCCAGACAGTGCAGACACTAGAAGCCACGCGACGGAGTTTGGCATATGGCAGAGCAAATGCCCAAGAAATCAAAAATACATAGTTGAACAGAGACACCTGGAAACACAAAATCAGAAATGGGGGCAGAAATACATGACAATGCACGACATTCACAAGACGGGACAATGTGATTCCAGTTCAGCAAAAACTGGCTAGGTTCTTATGTGTAAGGTGCTGTTCTAGGTGTTGGCCATTCCAAGGACATAGGGGCGCTGTGGTCTTGAAGATACTCTATCTCATAAAGCAGACAGACATACAATCAGGTAGCATCAATATAATAACAACAGTAGCTAAGAGTAGTTAACAGTTCCATAGTTGCACGGAAGTATGTGGTTCTGAGACTGCATTAAAAATATACATGTACTGGATTGGAACAGAAAGTAAAATTAGCTTGACTTGATGGCTAACTAGTTTGAGCATGGTATGATTAAGGGTAGAAAGCGTTAGACATAACATCAGTTTTTTTTGGTGGGGGAGTCTAAGTGGGTGAATTATCACTGCTAAGATTTGAAATATCAAGAATATGCTGATTTAAGGGTAAGGACAATGAGTTTAGCTTGACTGTTGGCTCTGGGCCACACAAGAGTTTATCAAGGAGACAGATATCTTCAGGTCTAATCAGTCTCCACAGCTCAAAGTTTCCTGAAGAATACAGAAGCATCACTGTCTTCTTCAGCCACGAAACAAATGAACTTATTTTGATACTTTCTCTCGGGGCTACTAACACTCACAAGTGAAAATTACAGCATGCACTCACTATAAAACTGAATATGTAGCAGGCATCACGTTCTGTGACCTTTGAAAGAAGAGGTTCCAAATCTGGCTTAGACAATGAAAACGGAGAAAACAGGAACAGTAATGAACCATCTGTATGCAGCACGCTGTCAGCTACTCTTCTTATTCAGTTATCATTACTAGAGGCAAAGATTCTCTCTGAGAATTACGTGCTGAGATAGTAAGATAGCAAGAGATGATGCCCCGAATTAACCAAAGGAGAAAGATCTGCTGTTCATAGGAATATTCAACAGCCCAGAAAGTGAACCCAGAAAGTAAAACAAACTGCATGTTGTGTTTTATCAAAATGCTTTGAGCCATGAATTGACTCTTCTCCCTTAGCCAAAGGCAGGGTCAATTTGAATGTTAAAGAGAAAATTATATTAAAAGTATTTACTATGAAGTAAACCTCATATTTCTTTCATTGTATATCTTTAAGGCTCTCTGTATAAAGGTAGTATATGCAATTTGCACATTTTTTAAAAAATTTTCTAAGTGATAAGCAAAGATAGTAAGTCTTAATTCCCAACCAAGTTCAAGGTGAGGATTCCATGCACTCAGGGAACATATAGAAAATACTAAATCCATTAATGTCCCAGGCAAAGCCACACACCAAGAAGGCTGATGGGGTGAGCCCTGCTGTGATTGGGGTTCCTGGCTTAGCCTAACTCCTGTAGAGAAAGATGGTCCAGCTGCCAGCAATTTGAGCTGAGAATGGAATTATCTAAATAGGAGTGATGTGGGCTGGGGGATTGCAGGCCTTGTAGATGACAGAGAAGGTCAGTTGCATTCCCGGAGAAGCAAGCTGTCTAATATGTGAACCCCACATCTCCCAGATGGTCCAGGAATGGCACTCCTGAGGTGGTCTTGGCTATAGTGTAAGGGTCTTAACTCCATGTGAGTATAAGAATAAGAGCTACCCATGACAACATGTTAGGTAGACAGGTCTGATGTGATCCCCTTTACACCCTGGAAAGGATGTCCAGTTGCAACATGCAGGAGGTTTCAGATGGAGAAAAGATGTGTATTTCTTAGTTATATAAAGGGAGAGACGATGTGGGCAATGGGTTCAGTTTTAGGCTCACTGGCAGGAGTGCTTCGGGGAACACAAGGCATGAGGTTGAACTCAGGACCTCTGGAAGAGCAGGCAATGCTCTTAACCACTGAGCCATCTCTCCAGCCCCCCTAACACTTGCCTCTTTCACAGTCACCCAGATGATGTACGACGAGACGATCTTGACGATGTGCAGCTCCAGGATCCACCACATAAACACCTGCAACTTGTGAAAATACTCCAGGAATTTTAGGAAGAGCACGGTGAGGCGGTCAATCACCAGGAGCCACTTGTTCCTTAGATCTGCAAGGCAGGAAATACAGCCAGGAGCATGGCCACGGCCGGCGCTAGTAACAAGCCGGAGCAGCTCTTGTCCCTTTTAGGATGAAATGAGAGTCTGCTCAATAGTTAGCGGATGCGTGCTGTGAGCCTGGAGTGGAAGCACCCAAGACCCCGACCCATGCCACACTGCTGATTCAGAACGTAAGTCGAAACACAAGGGACCGTGTTACTATATTGGCCTTATAATTAAATCAGTGAAAAGAACTTCGTCTTGATTTACTTTTGAGACTATGCTAAATGACCTGAGCTCTCTGTAAATAACATCATTTTCATCAAGCACAAATGACAAATGGGTGGTTAAGGCTCTTCAATCGCCTTTAGTAAGCAAGACCATCAGATCTACTTGTGGGCAGAGACAGCTTGTTCACCCTTAGAATCAGTATGGTTTCATAAAGTGTGGCCAACTTCTAATCATTCTTTTTTTTTTAAAAAAAAAGATTTATTAGGAATACAGTGTTCTGCCTGCATGTATGCTTGCAGGCCAGAAGAGGGCACCCCTTCTCATTATAGTTGGTTTTGCGCCCCCCCCCCCCCCCCGGTTGCTGGGAATTGAATTCAGGACCTCTGGAAGAGCAGCTAGTGTGCTTAACCTCTGAGCCATCTCTCCTGCCCTTCTAATCATCTTCTTATTCAAATAATCCATTGCATATTTTCTACCTTAGGGGTTCACACCACTATATCCCTGTACTGTCAACTTTACTGAAAGCTACAGAGGACAGTTTTGTCTCTCCATATTTCAGTTCTGGAGAGTGTCAACCCAACAGAGATAGCTGTAATGTGACTGTCCTTGGTCTGAACATTTAGTAAGGTTTTAGTTACATCAAAAATGCCTATGACTCAGGTGGACAGTCAACGTAAAGAAACAATTCAGAGGTGTGTACAGCAGAGCAATAAGGGTGTAGGGGGATTTTTGATAGGACCGTTTTAGAAGAGTCCAAAGTCCTCATTAAAGTAGTATAATGAAATCCTAGCTTTAACTACTTGTCTGGCAGGATTGCCCATCCTCCACTGTGGGGTGCAATCCAGATGTGAAAAAGGCATTTGGTCCTTATCTTGGGTCTTCTAAGATGAATTGGAGAAAGTAACAAGGTCTCAGGGCATGTCTTTAAGAGTAATTTTCCTCCTTATGTCACATTAGCAGAGATCCAGCTAAGACGTGTACAGTATCTCCCACTTGGCCCAGAGGCCACGCTATGCCACTGTCTGAGCATTATGACAGCGTCCAAACTCCCTGCCTTTTGCATCTTCTGTCAGGTAACATTTCTCAATCACCATGGCCATTCCACTCCACTCATTCCTGGTTAGTGCAGTTCTGGGAAGGAAGTTGGAGTGGAGCGGGGTGTCTACTGACAAAGATGGAGCCCTCAAGTCAGTGTTGCCCAGAGCACTGCAGAGCACTCAGACAAGTGTGCAATTACACACCACCTCCTCTAGCTCACACACTGTAAGTGTTGGACCAGAAGTAGCAATGTATGCATATTGCCACTCTCCTTGACGAACCTCAGAATGCCTTCCCCAAGAATGAGTCTCTGAAGGTAACATCAGAATTGCCAGTGGCTCTGAGCAAGGGCCTATAGTGGGATAGGTCCTGTGAGAGGTTCCCACGAGCAGCGGAAACCAGAACACACCCCTCTGGGTCTCCCCACGGACACTCTGCCTGTCATCATGAATGGTTAGCCAAGCACCTGCCCTCTTCCCTTTCAGGCAGATGGAAGGGAAATTATTGCAGTAATTGGGATATGAATATTATCACGATAGCAACCAAGACTATTCTTCAACTTTTATTAGACAAAATCACAGGCAGGTGCTTTGGAGAAAGGCACTCTGTCATTTGTGCTGCGAGGGCAGGCGAGGAGAGGGGCTGGTTACCTGAGGTTTCTTCCTCCTCCGACTCCTCTTCCTCCTCTTCCTCCTCTTCAGACTCGTCGCTGTCTTTCCCCGGCTCACCCTTTTCTGCCTTCTTGGCACATTCTTCTGGCCTCTCTGCCCCAGGCTCCGCCATTTTCTGCACCTCAGGCTTCTCCAGGCTGGTGGTGGTCATATTCATAATGGCTAGGTCTGGGAGGCTTCCTTCAGGGTGGGCCAATCTGTGGGCAGAGAGCAGCCGAGTGAGGAGGGGAAAGCGCGCCAGGAGGGTGCAGTCAAGGGGCAAGTAATGAAGGCCAAACCAAGGCAAATCGGTATGTGTACGAGGACCCTGTGCCATGGGCATTAGCGTCTCATCGTGTTTTGTAAGTCTGTTTAAGTTCTTTCTAAACACACACTGTCAACTCAGCTTTGTTAGGTTTTCTTATTCAGGTGGTAGTGATAGGTCAGGAATGAGAGCTATTAGCACCTAAACTTGACATTTTTTTTCCTGGTGGAAAAAAAATGGTCAGAATTTAGGATGTAGAAGCATGAAATGGCGTCATGTAGAGCAAGCATTTCATGGCTTCACAGGGGGACTTACTCATTCTGGTGGATTGGTAATTTTTTCTTGATGCTGCTCAAAGTAATTGGAATAGAAAGGAAAGAGAAGGAGATGAGAACAGAGGAATTACAAGGAGGTCAGAGATCACATAGCATGCCTTACATCATCCACTATCACATAGGGGTATGCCAGGTGCGGTGACGACCTAATGCCAAGTGCATTCCAGAATGGTAACGGTAGTGGGCTTTCCCTAGGAACCGAGGCTTAGCAGCTGATCTGAGAGGGCGGAATGATCAGTTTATAGGGGAGAGGATTTAGAGACTCCCCAGTCAAACTGCATCATGCTCTTTTAGCAAGGTTTTGGACCACCTTGCAGGAATCACGTCATTCACAGGTTACCGAAGGCTTTTTCAAAGGATTAAGTAATGTATGCTCTCAGCCAGCCTTGGCATTGGCTAATCTCATGCTACCAGCGGCTAAAGCATATGCGAGGAGAGCCACGCACTTCTGGGAGTGGTTACGGCATCTGCAGCACATCTCGTCTGGGGACCACTGATGTGCATTTTGGACTGGAAGCTGCAGGGGATTCTGGAGGAGCCAGAGCCGGAGCGAGAATACAGCGGGTGGGGATTTACGGCCCTGACAGCAGCCTGGTCCCACACCTTCCTTCATAGCAGACAGCACAAGTGAGAGCTTCGTCCCACACTACAGTTTTGAGACAGAATATTGTGTTGCTCAGGCTGCCCTCGAAACTCCCAGGCCAAGCAATCTTCCCTTAGTTACCCAAGTATCTGGGACTGTGGGTGTGTACCATGTGCCTAATTTCCTAATTGCTTCAGAAAAATGGGAAGCTCTTTATTCTTCTTTGGGTGAATGTTATAAAAGACACTGTAGATAATAAAGAGTGTTTTATGGAACATGTATTCCAGAAATGCTAATCATTTTTTCCCATTTGTAATAATTATTCTATTTGTTTCAACCTGGTCATGGCAGAATAGACAATACTATCCTACAAACAGGATTGTAGAATCTCAGAAAATTATTTAACTTTTCTAAAATTTGGTTAATTTTTATATCAAATAAGTAGATTTGTTTGGATAAATTCTAAGCTATCTTTATTGACAGAATAGTTAAAAACACATCTATGGTTTGAAGGTAATGCTGGCTTGAGTCCGCATTTCCCTTGGGCTTTTAGATAGTACCTAAAAAGACATTCTCTTTGACAGGGATCAGGCAGGTAGAGTACCACATGCCAGGAGCAAACTCCTAACTTAAGGCAGAAAGAGTGTCTGCGGAAGAGTTCAGCCTAGGGCTGTGGCTGGGCATGGGGGTGTGGCTGGAGACGGATGGGAAAATGGCTGGGGATAGGGTTATGCTGACATCCTACCCTTGCCTTAAGCTAGCTAGCTCATATTCTCAATTGCTGGACAGCTGATAAGTTTTAAAACTGTAACCATCACACTCTTTTCCGACGGCAGTGCTGTGCATTTGTATTAATAACATCTGCCGGCCGATCTGGCAGGGCTCTGTATGAGATGTGTCTGGGTGCAGCAGCAACCTGGTGTCAGAGTCACCAGCACACACGTATTCTGGAACTGTTGCAGGCCTCCACTGTACACATAGGAGGGTATCTGTCATGAGGACAAAGACCGGTCATTTATTCTATGGAAGTGGTGATATCAGATTACATTTTAAAGATGGTAGAAACTTTGAAGGGACAAGATAACTCTCTAATAATCCCTGCTATTTGTGGAATAAGACTCCTAGTCATGAGACTGTTTCTAGTCACTGTGGGACCACATGGTGAAATGTCTTCAGTAAAGATGCCCCCAAACTGCTTGTCACAGCGAGGGCATACTGAGGACACCAACTAAATGAAGGCAGTAGAACAAGATTCTGAACTGGAGCTTTTGGAAGTAGCTCTATACTCATTTCCAGACACTTCTTTACAAGCACTCTGGGCCAGACAAAGTTGAGAGCAGAAGAGCGCTGAGTTCCGCAACTCATGTTTGTTGCGCTCGGATTTAATTCATGAGGAATGACAGGGGGACATCCAGGTAGTGTCCGAAGCATGTCACTTTATGTCTTAGGATGGGTAACAACAAAGGAAAAGGGAAGAGACACACACCAGAGATTGTTAACCCTCTGAGATTTTCATTGACCATTTTCTTTCACTATATATTCAGGAAAACATGTGCACATGAAACACGCATTAATGAAAATATGTTAAATGCACAGTTGGTTGGAGCATCCTATTTTAAAATCACTTTTCAGATTTCTCATTTTTATCTTTATCATACTGTTTTTTGAGAATATAATCAAGAAGAATGCCAAAGGCCTGGGTTCAGCAACAGAAAGCCTGGGGCAGAACCTCCCGGTGGGAAAAGTCTCTACCTACATCGCTTGACGAAGTACTGGGCTTGCCTCCTTAGCCTCAGCCTGCTAACTGTAGGATGGAAGCTGTTGGGCCTACTTCACAGGATATTTTGAAAATTAGAGCAGTTCCTGTGAATGACTCACATCAGGAGGAGTTATGCAGGAAAACTTTAAGGCAAAGCCCCCATCTTCGAAGGAGAGATTTTCACTCTTGGGTGTGGTCGCCTGCATTATAAGTTCATCCTCGTGAAAATCAGGGTTCAACATGTACTCTTGCAGGGGTCCTCTCACTGAAGGGCAGTGGAGAAGATGCTAAACATGGGAGATGATTCTGCTGCCTGCCCATCCGCACATTTAAGAAAACCCTTCTCATGAAAGATGCCCAGGGTCTCTCAAGGGAATCTGCTTTTTATTCTTGCTCACGGCTCTGTGCGGAGCTCTCAGTCACGGCAAACTCTGGGGCCCAGGGCTGGAGGAACTGACTGACCTCTGCTATACCCAGCGGCTGGATTGGTCTCCAGAAAAGCTGATGTCTCTTCGAGCCAGAGAATGCCACCCCAGGGAGACAGTCCCTGAAACTTCAGGCTGCAGAGCTCATGATGCTTGTCCTTCTTCACCGGGTTCAAAGAGTGTTTTACTGCCCAGAGGACAGGTTTTAACCTGGGACACCAGGCAGATGTGGGGTGACTCTGGGGAGTCTTCCTCCTACCTCTGAACATCAAACCACTTCACACAACTGTCTTCACAAAAAGTTCATTTCACTTCTTTTCATTTTCTTTCTTTCTTTTTCCCAGTTGTTCTTGTATCCTTGTTGCCATTCATCCATCTGTGCATCTGTGTGCGTGCATGCATATGCGTGTGTGTGTGTGTGTGTGTAGGGGTTGTGAGATTTACAATAGGCTTCTCACTATTAATTTTGGAATAAAAGTGTGGCGGGGTTGTGAGATTTACACTCTGAGCTATGGGCTTCTCACTATTAATTTTGGAATAGAAATGTTTTCACCCTTCACACCACCACAAGGCAGATGACTTTCACCTTCATTTATGAATCCAGCTCTTTCCTTTAAGGGCTGTGTATACCCCGCTCCACCTGCTTTGCCAGTCTTTATTCTTAGCGTGTGTTCTGGGGACTCCTCTGGCAGTCAGCAATCTGGTCCTGCTCCATCACCTCCTCTGTTTTGTGCGTTTTCACACCACAACTCAGTGACTGTTAGTGAGGGCATCCTGTGCACGGAAGACACTCTCTGCACTGAACCGAATTGTGTGAAAGCCACAGAGGTTTAATTCAGTACTAGGACTTGGCCTTGAGAAGCTGCATATTAAGCTAGCTTCCATTAAAGAAAATGGAAAGCGGTCATTGTAAAATCCATTAGTCTAAATTCTATGAACTATCCTAAGTATGTGAAATACACATTGTGCTCACCCCTCCCACAGGGATAAGAAATGCCTGACGTTCGGGAAGGAGGTGCACTGTACATCTGCAGGGTTCACAGTATTAGTGACACCTGAAACCTTTTTACAGAGCTAGTGCAACATCAGGAAGACTGTATTCACATAGAAACAGCTGATCTGTGTGTGACTTTAGCTTCACACCTTACATGTATGTGTCCCATCTTACTGTATGTATGGCATTGAGTTCTCTGCATGGAATCCAGAGAGGCTGCACATTTCTCCTTCTACACCATGGAATGAATGACTTCATTCCTGAGAAAATATCCGACTTGATATTTTGTCAATTTTCCCACAAGTTAATAAAATTATTCTCTATCTTTTCCAAGTGTCTCAGTGCATGCTACCTTCTTTTACTACATATTTTGGGGAAAGTAATATCTATCTGGTATTCTGTATGTACATATTCTATATGTACATATTCTATATGTGTAGGTGTATCTCTTTTTTCAAATCTACAAAATCATTTTTCTGAACACATTTTTCTCCTTATAAAATAAAACTGAACTTCAAATATGTGTGATGAAGGGCTCATTCTGCCATTCAAATTGAGTAAGAGGTCCAATTAAAATTCATACACACTTTAAAGATAACATGAAGCACATGTTTTGAAATGAGGGTCAAATGTATTTGATTAACATTTCCTCTTGGGGGTATGTTAGCCTTTCTTCTGACTTCCTCCACGGATGAGAGATTTCACTGAAAGAAGGTAGTGGCAAAGCTGGATTATTTGGTAATTTTAATTATTAGGGGTGAGTCTGATCTTGATACATATCTCCTATTAAGATAAGTGATGCATGCTTTATGAAAAACAGCAAGCAGACACTTATCTTTTGTCTGGACACAGGAATTAAGTAGCTGGTGAAGATCCCCAACTAGAGTGAATCCTTCTCTAATCAGAAGCTAGGATTTTCCGAGCTGGGACTTTCTCTCACACTGGCTTCCAGCAGATGCCAGACAGTCTTTGTACAATGTTTATCTCTATTAGCTCAAGTGACACTCATTGTAAGGGAGGACCATGTTTAGTTTGTATTTCCTGTGGTGTGGGGACACACTGAATTCTATGGATGGAAAAAAAACCCTTCTTTAATAGTTTGATCTTTCTTGTAGAATTGTATTTGGAAACTGATTTGTTAAAAACCACACAGCACCGTGGCCATTTTCTTCAACTAATGAGTAGGGCCGAGGGTTCAGCGGTGCGGCATCTTCTGTGTACAGCACAGGGCATCTAGACCCGAGGAGCTTACACCTCTAGCAAGGGAGCTAAGACAAGCAGGGTTCTGGAAGGAAAGCCTGAGAAACTGCCGCGGGAATCCGGAGGCAGGGCAGACAGGTGCCAGCAGGACGTTGACATTGTTGGGATTGTGTGGAGGAGGCAGTTCTTGAGCTGAGCTCCCGATTTTATGATCAGTGAGGTGTTAACCTCTCAGGGAAGGCTTGAACAAAGAGCAAAATCAATGGGCTGTAGAAGTCGGGACCCAGACCAAATACTGAGCACCAGCTGAAGACCCTGGACCACCTCCACAGCCACTGTACAGCACCATTTGGCATGACCACCAAAATGGCTTGGCTTGCGAAGTGCAACCATGAGCGTACCTGAGGTCACCGTCCACTGAGGACGCCACTTTCAATTCATAAAGCAGGAAAAGGTTTAACATATGAGGAAACATTTTTTAAGTAAAAAGAAGAGAGAAGACATCAGCATACCCACCTATTTATTATTAGATACACGCGACCATTGACCTTGGCATGGCTGCGCGATGAGATGGGAGCACAAGGATGCAAGGGGAGACAGGCGGGAGAGAAAGAGGAGACAGTTAGACAGAGGCCATGGAGGAGCCTGTCCCTTAGGCTTTCGGCGAGTGTTTCGTCATCCACACAGATCCTGTGCCTCGAAAAAATGTTCAGGCAGCAAGATTCAGAAGCATCATGAAGTCAGATGCACACAGGAAAAACGCTCAATGACCACATTCCCCTTCTGCCTCCTCCCTCCCATCTCACAGACGTTATTAAAGAGTACCGATGCTTAAATTGAAGATACACATTACCAGAGACAAAACTAGAATCTGAAGGATCAACTTTTGCTCCTTTTTCAGATTTAAAAATGTTCTAATTCAGTCTCTTTTCTTTACAATCTTTAAAACTTAAGCTAAAATGTATTTACTATTTTCTAACATAAATCATAAATAATTTGTAATGATATCAAAGTAATTTAAGTGGCTCTTGAAAAATTATTACTACATAAAGTGTATTATTGTTCTGTCATGTTGGTAAGTAAAATGATATTTCTGAGGTTGCCTACTGAGAAATTATAACAGTTTTTCTTATGCATGCATATAAATTCTTTTTGTAATTCTAACTATAATTTCTGAAAGGATAAACACAGCAAATTCTATTTCATCTGCAAGTGTTCTTTGCCTATACTGGATATGCTCACACACACACACACACACACACACACACACACACACACACACACACAC